TACAGATAAACATATTGCTACCGCATTTGCTGAATAAAATCATTCCAAAGAAGTGTGTCCCGAAGTCAGTATTAAATGCGAAAGTACGACAATTTATTGGAAAGACAGTTTCACTGTTTCAACAGTTTGTTTTTCTCTATCACTTCTGTGAAGACCTTGTTTCAGTGTTTCCGCACTAATTCATTATTGACGCCAAGCGACATAAGTTGTTATTTGCCATTTATTTTTTACAAGAATTCCTTCAAAGCTATCGTAACTGTTAAGCCTTCATTAAAAAAATCTCGTTAGAATTTTTGCTTTTCTGTCGAGAAGGTGGGTTTCCACTTTGTTCTTTATCAAGGGGTGTCAATGTTGCAGAGTTTTGTGAACACAGAACCATTTCCAAACTCATTATGAGATCCAGATGCCTTATAAGAAGTTGAGAATCTAGTTTTATGGGGTAAAGAACATTTATTTGTCTGAAAATTATGAACAACATGGCACCTGCCATATAGTATATATATTCACATATGGATATTTTTCTGTTCAGTGTAACAACTGAATGAGGTTTTCAAGTACATTTATAATTGTTCAGAAAAATGTAGGTTAGTTGGAGGTGAAAAACGCAAAAGAAAGATAAAGAATACACTGCACAGATATCTGAGCCAAATGAGTATTAACCTAAAAATTAGACTTGTGCGTGTTTTAGCCGTGGTATATATCCCAGGTAGGACAATAAAATATGCAATTTGGATATGATTACACCAATTTGATCACATGCACTGATCGTTTAACTTTCTAAATGTTTGAAGACCCCTAGAAATACGACATAGTAATTAAATTGATCAGAAAACTCAGAAAATCTGTGATCATTCAAGTCCTAATAACAAGAAAACGACAAATCGCCGAGATTAATATGGTTAAAAAACTAGACTAAATGAATTAAGCCATAAATTTATTTTAAACTATAGTGGCCAATATGGGTAAAGTGGGTTAATTATGTAGCATTTTAACCCCCTTTTGGCCACTTCTTTGCCAATTAGAATTAGAATTACCCACCTAGCCCACTTTTTCCCACATTATTCAGATGCATTCTCTGACTAAGTAGATTCTGAAATTCAGGTCTACTTAACATCACAACGCGATTTTATCTTCCGATTTCTCGACAACTCTTCTTCAAAAGCCCGGAATATTCACTGTTTCCGATTGCTAACTACTTACAGATTCTTTGGTTTATAATAACGTTAAGGCTTAGTAATGCGCATTAATAATCGGTGGTATAGTACTTGTCAACCGCTCACGCGGTCCGGGTTGGACTCTCTGATGACTGACACCTAGACGTTACCTAGTTTACTAGCCGATAGTAAACTCGGAAAACGGGAAGTGTTGGGCGACCAAACTCGATAAAAACAACCTAACTGATGAATCTTTAAAGCTTGAAGCCTTATTTTCCATTTGGAAAAGCAAAGGATGGAAAAAGTATTTTAGAGAAAGGGAAAAATACCATCATAAAGAGAAATTAAATGATGTTAGGCGATATTCCCCTTTTTAGTTTGAATGTTCTTTAGCTAGTTAGAGCGTTTAAAATTTCAAGTTATTATATCATAAGGGTTGCCACAATCAACGAATTATCAATATTTGACTGCTTTCTGTCACCTGAAAATAAAACTTAGTGTTTGTACCTTGTAACAGTTTATTCAGATTCAGGTTTTTATTTTAACTTCGATAGTAATCCTTTTACAATTTAAACTAGTCCGGTTAGCTAAATATACCTTAGGTGTGATTAGATTAAAACATGGCAATAATCCTTGAAATTACTAACTGTTTTTTGAGCTATGTAGATATGTTGTCTGTTTAGCGTCCTGAAGATGTTAAGAACCAATATATGGAAAGGTTTGATGACACAGCTCATCTCTCAAAAGTTCACTTTGACACACTAGTTCCTATCCATCGTAGTACCATTGTATTCCTACACCTATACATTTTAAGTCCTTCTTTGAAGTATGACACCCTGAGGTGATGCAATTAAGTGAGAATTTGTATGCTGGATAGTCAATCAGACAAACAATCTTAGATCATTTAACAGAGGATTAAGTTATTTAACACATAGTTTCGTCTCAGTACTGAAACTTTGAAGTGTATATCCACGTTATCCAAGGGATAATATTTATAAGCACTCTATTTAGTCTACTTGTAAAAGGATTCTGAATGTTTTGTGCATTTTGATAGTCTTGTCTCCCTATTGTCATTTTCCTCTCAAAGTGGAAACGCTTTTAAATACTTTTTGACATATCAGATTATATGCTATTCCAGTTTACATTGCTAAGAGTTTATTGAATTATTCTGTTATGATTACGGCCTAAAACTATCTCATCTTAAAGCCCGTAGTAATTAAGCTTGGTGCTTGAAATCGACCTCTTAACTATGAGTTACTTTTAAAACATTTCACTTAAAGTATTTCAGGTATCCTTAAACATTTTTGTTGTAAATATTATCATTGTGAAAAAGAATTTCTTTCTTTCAGAATTAAATACAATGTCTCAGATAATAAATCTTATTCATAAAGGCGATAATGAAGAAATACAAAAGTTTTTGAAAGTTTTTGACAAAGATCCAAGTGGTTATCTCCAATCCATGAATGAACATGATCAAATGCAAAAGTCTGCCATTGAATTATTTACAATATTAGACTGTCGAAATATTATTGAAAAGGCTATAAGTAATGGTTATAATGAATTACATATAAATGGGATAGATGGTAAGAACAAGATTTTGATTAAATTTTTACTTTTCGAAAGGATGCAATCTAGCACATTATGCAGCTATGTGGAATCGAGCAGATTTATTAAAATATTTATATTTTGCTGGTGTAGACATGTATAGTAAAAATGTTTACGGTGAAACAGCGCATAAATTAGCCGTTAAATATGAACAAAAAGAAGCAATGCATATGTTAGAGTGGATAGGTAATAAATGATCTAAACCATTTCTAGAAAATGTTTTTTTAATTTTAAATTATTTTAGAATGCCGTGATCAGTTTCTTACACTTATTCGAATGGTTAGAGAAATTTTAGCTACTGCTGATAAAAATGACTATACAAGAGAAGAAAGAGTAAGTTGTAATTTAATTTCCCTGTGAAGGTACTTCATACTTCACTTCAGAAAAAAATGATATTTAGATGAAAGCTTAATTTGATCTGAGGTTTATGATTAGTCATTCCTTGAAATTTTTATTCCTTTGCGTTCTGAGTGGAACATGGGGATCCAAAGCTTCTTTCTTTGAAGTTTTAGTTGTAGGGGTGCTTATTTTTTTACAGTATGGGGTGGTTAGCTTCATGCCTAACCTTCTTTCTTTATCGGGCTTACTGCCGGCTAAGCGAGGTTGAGAGAAAGGAATACTCTGGACCACAGATAAGAAAACTGTAGAAGATCTTGATTTCACGCGTGGATGATTTATGTTCAATATCACACAAACTCGAAGACTCACAGGCGAAAAGCAGTAAACTGGTTGAAGAAGCAGGCAGAGAAGACAGGACTCCAGGTGAACACAGAGAAGACTGAGGTCGTGAAGGCAACCAATCGGCCAACAGCAGCAACAACCAGCACCCGTCACCATCAAATAGAGAGATTTGACGGAGGTTACTTCCTTCACTTACCCGGCTAGGAAGCATCGTTTCAACCACAGGCAGTTGGACCGGATGAAGATGTGAAAGCCAGCCAGAATCGGAAAGGCAAGATACGCCTTCATCAACCTGAAACCAGTTTGAAAATCTTCTGCACTCCGCCTCAGCCAGCACAAACAACAAGATTAGGATTTTCCACACAAATGTGAAGTCAGTCAGTTCTTCTATGTGGGTCAGAAACTTGGCCAGAGTGTCACGAAAAGGATTTCCAACAAGTTGCAGACTTTTATCAACAGCTGCCTTCGCCGGCTCCATATTGAAGATCGAGTGGATGGGCAGAAAGAATTAGTAACAAGAAACTCTGTCTGGGAATAAACCAACCAGAGCCGATCGCTCAACAAATATGTAGGAGAAAATGGAGATGGATTGGGCATACGTTGAGGAAACCGCCAAATGACATCGCTCACCAGGCTAGTCCTCGAGTGGAATCTAAATGGGAAGCGATGAGTGGGTCGTCCTAGGGTGACATGGAGGAGATAGTGTGGCGAGGAGGAGATGAGAGATTATGGGCAATCGTGGACCCAGCTGAATTGAAGAGGACGACAGAAAATAGAAGAAAGTGGAGATGTGTTGTTGAAGTCCTATGTTCAACTTGGAATCCAAGGGAATAATAAATATAATAATATAAGCAAGGTTGAGGAGTGCGTCTGCCTGGGATCGAAGCCGGAACCACGTGTGTGGTAGGGGAGCAGTCTGCCGCTGAATTACCGACAGGGAAATCAAAAGGAATTTAGGCTTACTGACTTCCTATAAAGTATTTAGTAAAAAGGAAAGATTGACTGCAGTTTATGAGATCAGCTAACAGCTTCGCGATTTTGAACTTTCCAAATAATCTGCTAAACAATTTATCTTTATGCATCAGGTAACAGTCGGACACTATGCTATAGTCTTCAGTCTTGCAAAAGTTATTAACGATGGGGAATATTTGTTTGAAAATGGTCGCAAGTGTTTTAATACTTTTGATCTGCAAAGCAACAAAATAATTATTTGTTAGAACTATCATTTCAGTTTCGCTTTGGGGGATTTTTACTGCATCGAAGTCCTCGGTCGGCCTCTATAATAAGAATGATGATAGTTTCAAGCAATAACAAGGAATAACCGTTGCATGAGAGGTGGCTATCGTAACCAATTTGTCTAGTGGATAACACAATGAGTGCTGGGTGAAAGTCTCAGTGGAGCGCCATCACCCACTGGAATGGATGTAGATACATCCAGTGATGAGTCCCGAACGGGGTGAAACACGTCACAATTCTTGTAGATACAACACGTACAAGTTATCTATTGATAAGTGAATAAATAATTGTAGAACAAATGTTCGATGACTAATGATCAGTAGAATGGTTCAGAGTAAGATTATTACAGAAGAAAAAAATCTTCAACAAAGTAACCATAGCATTAAATAATCTCAAACGATAAATGTTAACCAACATTGAAATTCAAACAAGCATTATTAAATATCCAGGAAGCAACTGGTATACAGTGTAATAAAATATTTACAACTTTACTTAGGTGGTGGTGGCTATGAGTAGAATCACGAACATGCTTTTCATCTCACTGAGGACTCGTCAACCTTATGTACCTATCTCTCCAGCAAGGGATGGTATTCCCATTGAGGGTGAAAGTTACACCAAAAAATATTTATTATCCTGCCGAATTCCACGACTATCATGAAAAGGATGATTAATATCACTTATGGCACTTACTGCAATCAATCTCAGGTCAAATTATACCCTTTACTCATGTTCAACAATATGGTACTAACACTGTCAATAAAGAACTGGTATTTCCATAATGCACTTTTGATTACTTACTTTACTTTACTTCGGCTATCTCCTACGGGAGGATGAGCCGGCTTCATGAACATCTCGAATCATCGCTGCCCAGGCGCGGCGATCTGATGCAAGGTTTTGCGACAGTTTGTAAGAGAGTTCATGAAGTTTCATGGGAATTTGGTACGAGTGATGTCCCCAGAATCGCTCGGCCTTTTGTTTGAGAGTGCAGCTCTAGCCTTTACACAACCAAGTGTGACCTACAAGGTAGTAGGAGTGGAGTAGGGAGTCCACTATCCATTGGCAGCCGGTGACCGGAGTTCGGTTCATACGCCTTTTTGAATGGGGCCAGACATCCAGGACATCCAACAAGCCCTTTGTCCATACGTCTGCCGGTGAGCTCCAGTGAGCTTCATACGCCAGTCGTCGGAGGTTTGGAATCAGGGTTTAGCCATCTCCCCTAGACTGTCATCCAATGGACAGTCAACCCGGTGAAGAGCGCCGGGCATCCGCTTTCGCCCTCTCACTTTGGTGAAAAACACCTCCGCCACGTGAAGGCAGTGAGTAGGAATTAAAAAAGCTACTGAAAAACATAAAGTCCTGAGTTACTGAGTATTTAAATTTAGGTAACTCTAGTACTACTAGATTAAAGCCTTAGATTTTGCTTCTACTTAATTAGCGAAAAAGAGTCAATGACAACTTGTCGTTGTACTGTTTTCTCAATAGATGACGTTACTTTCAGAAACTCCGACTCAGATTTACCGCAAAAATCTGATTTTACTAAAGCTGTATTCAAAATGTTTCAATTCCATGTAAAAATTCTAATTTATTGCACACAGTCTTATTCCCTACTTGTACCAATTTGGATGTCAGAGGGATAAAACCCAACAGAGTGGGGATTTAAATCAAATTCACAATTTGCAAATTAATTGGCAATCTTCAATTTACGCAGTTTGAGGAGGTGAAATTTCACCACACTTTCCTCTGGAAGCCGAGATTCTTCAGAACATAGTATATGATGTGCTTGACACCATAAATGGTAATCGAGAAAGCAAGCAAACTTGCGTGTAACTATATACTACTGATTGATTGAGATGAGTAGTTGAATACTGTTCACATCAACCAGTAGTGTTTGCTAGTCAGATCGAAGCGATCTAAACACCGGACAGTCATTTTGCTCGTCTGGGCACGGGAGACCGAATGAGATGTGTAAATTACGAATTAATTTTTAAGTATTGGTTTGTAGGGATTTGATTGATTGGTTACAGGATTTCATCATGAGCTGATATCGGTTAGAGAACCATAGGAGAACCCGGGAGTACTAGACGGCTGCTTCGTCCTAGTTTGGGATCCTTCAGCAGTACTCACCCGCCACCAGATTTCGAACCTAGGATATTCTGGTTACAAGGCTAGCGAGCTCGTAGACCATTAAGCCACTGGGACCCGATCCAATAGCTCATGAATTCCAACTGCTGCCAATTCACGACACAGCGCAACTACAAATTAATTTGCCAGTCGTAAATTTCATCTAAGGTATTACCAGTTTGTCTAAGTAGCTTGCCAGAAATCGGGTGTTTTGGACTGATTCAGTTATCTGAGCTGAGTCAAACGGCGTACACCGCTGGTGATCTCGGTCCGAAACCAACGGAACATCCATCTTGTGTTTATATTACTTTGATCTAGCTAGTAAACACTAGTGATCGATGTGAGTGGCATACAACTACCTATCTCAGTCAATCAGTGGTATATAGGTAGGTAATTATTTATGGCGATTATATTACTAGTCACAGTATCTAGCATACTTTATTCTTTTTCACCAGTTCTCTGCTGCTAGTGTCTAAACTGATGAAAAGGACTAGTATGTGGTAATTACTTATTTCTGACTGTTCATTGTTGAATAGCTAATGTCCTGTTGAAAGATATTCAGGAAGTAGTGAAAATTAGGAATTCAAGGTGTAATTAAATGAAATATGAACTGAAACAATAACCGTTAGAGAATGACTCAAATACTCACTTGTCTTAGACATTAGAACATTTTTCAAAATAACGAAATTTTGTGACAACACTATACTTCAGAATACCTTCAACTTCACAAAGAATATCTTATCTTGTGGCATATATCCTCAGTCATCATATGCAAAAGCTAAAATGATTTTAAAAAGTTCACTGCTATTTCTCCTGTTTGATTCTTCATTGTGTTTATTTCTTTTTTGTTTTGGCATTTATAGAAAATTGCAGATGCTGCTTGTCTTGATGGCGAATCATGGATAAATAAAAATAAAGAAGCTACTCTTAGCATGTTGAAAACGAAAAAAGAACAAATTGAATTAATTGTAGAACCATTTTTTAGAAGAAGAACACCAGTGTTTTAATTTTGACTACTTTATAATTGATTTAGTTTTGGCTTTGTTTTGATGACTTCTTCCCTGTACTATGATTATGAATAGTACCAGTGGGTGTCTAAGAAGAAATATAGATTAGTATTTGTATTCACTGACTCTTTTCTTAAATATGAAATAGGATATTGCTTTTAAACATACTACGTTATCCAATGAGTATACTGTATGAATTAGTTGAGTGTAATTCAAATCAATATAATAATAGGAAAGAAGTCTTTCCATTTTGAAACAAAATTTGAATCATTGTGTCAAAATTAACAAAATTTACATGTTCATTAAGTGAGAAGATGATGGTTATTACAGAACACTGGGGGACTTGAACAGTCAAAGTTATTACTGAAATTATCTAAAATATTCAAGATTTAGTTTGTTGAGACTTGATTAGTTTCAAGTTTGAATATGGATTGATTTCAGTCAGACAGGCATTGAAACCTAAAGAGTATTGGACAGCCATTTCGTCCCATTTTAGGACTTTTTAATAGCACTCTCGTATAACCCCACAGGGGGTAGAAATCTAAATTGCCTTTACTTTTTATCATTATTATTTTATTCCTGTACGTTCCCAGTGGAATATAGGGCTTGAAAGTTCATTAGCAGTGGTGTTTATTTTTACGGGATAGGGTTGCTAGCCTCAGGACCAACTTTCCCTCTCTATGAGTCTTATTACTGGCTTAACGAGGTAAAGGAGTGTGTCGGCCTAGGATCGAACCCCGGACCACATGAGGTGTGGTTGGCGAGCATTCTACCGCTGTGCCACCGAGGCAGAAATTTCCTTTAGCTCAGTGATTTTATTTTGATGACTAACTGACTGGTTTCAACATAGGACTTCACACAAGTGTGCAGCAGTTCAAGTTGCCACACTCCATGTACCACACAAATCAATAGAAGAAAGTAAAGAGAGATAATAAACAGAAATGCGTTGGAAAAAGAATAGTGATATGGAAGAGCAATAGAGTTACACTGGATATAACAAATAACAAAGACTGAATACATTTGTGGCAGTGAGAACAATTTTGAGCCATATCACCAATTGTTTCCAGGGATTGGTTTTTATCATCCCCGAGGACTCCATCCAGGAAGTGTACACCTTCCTACGTGGCTTAAATTAACTGTTGTGAATTTCATTTCCATTACTAGCAGACTGCTTCATGGCTATTGATATAAGAATGAAACTTGTGCACTGTGGTAGAGTATAATTCGATTATGGGTAAAATTTTATTTTGATAAAGTGATACAATTATGAGCGATAAATTGTGCTCGAAACGTCATCAGTAAATACTACTGTATAACACTGAGACTTTATAAAAATAAAATTTCACCCATAAAGGAATTGTGCTTCATGGCTAGTCTTGAGAACGGCCCACTCAAGTCGTCCACTGACAATTTGCAACTGTAATAACGATAGGTGGACGACATTTTCGTCGTTTGCGACAACATCTACGACCAAAATGAGTTGCTACAAATATTCAACAACTGCCATCCGGCAATAAAATTCACTCTAGAAATGGAATGCGAATCTCAAATTCCCTTTCTTGATGTGCAACTAACAAGACGACCTGAAGGAACCTTAAGAATGTCAATCCATAGAAAACCTACTTGGAACCGTCAACTGACAAATTTATACATTTGGGTACCTATTGAGTGGAAACGAAATCTGATTAAATCGAATCCGACGCATCGGTAATCCTGAAGCCCTGGAAGCAGGACTGGATCTTCTGAAAGAAACCTCCATCCAAAATGGATACCCGCCAAGATTATTGACAGGAATATCAGACCAAAAATCCAGCGGAAGGAAAGATAACTTGTTCCAAAAAAGAAGCTTTACATGAATCTGGATTTCGAAGGAGACTTAGCCGGAGGTATCCTCAAGAGAAGAATTGCATCACGGTTGAGAAGAATATTCTTCTCAGTAGCGCTAAGAGTAGTGTTCTTCAGTCGTCTATTGGTCTGCTGAAACCTTCAGGAAACATCTCATATCTTACCACTTCTTTGTGCACATATCAGTTCACCTGTTGCTGTGGAGACAGGTACATCGATCATTTGACGCGCACCCAGTCCAGAAGGTTTAGGAACACATCCCGCATGGCTGCAGAAGGTAATAAGGCTCTCTCCATAAGAAGTGTGATAGTCGAATACTGTCAGTACTAGTCATTTCGTTTCAAAAACGCCTTCTTCAAAGTGACCTACAAAGTGAAGAACAACCTACCAAGGACAATACGCTTTCGTCTCCTTTGTACTGTTGAAGCCTTAGGCATTCAGTTGGAAAAACCAGAGTTATGCATACAAAATAAAATCACTCAGTCATTTCTGCTGTTATGGTAACAACCGTGTTAGTTTTCAGTAACTTGGTGTTTGTGTGCTCGCTTTTCCAACTCCTCATAACTCTTGTCTTTCTTTACAATTCTTACATAATTCTGTATTTTCATTCGTTTCCATGTTTCTTGTTTCTATGTGCATCCTAATCGAAACTCGCTCATTAAATTATCCATTTTATTACGCAACTGTAGTACACTTATTGTTTTTGTGCATTACATTAAATATTTCTTTTAATAGCTCATCACCATTACTCTCGTAATCATCTTCAAACCCCTTTAGTTACAATCTGACTATTCATCACATTTTCTGAAATATTTTGATAACAAAAACAATAACCCTAACTAATTTCTATTCTTGTCTGACAAAGTTTATGCACACAAGCACAAAAAAATAGTTATGCATACTTGCGACTATACAGCCGAGTAAATGAATTTGCCGAAAAGAGATTCTTCTCTAAACTGCGTGTTTTGTTTTCATTAATGTCTGACTGGGGATTATTTATGCAATAAAAAGTTTCACCTTCATAAGAAAAATTACGTGGAGTCAAACCTGAGTTAAGATAACTATATTCACATTCACATAACTCTTCTTCTACACACTTCCAACAACCATGCGGCCTATTTCAAGTTCTGTTTTTCCTCTAACTCCTGGCATGATAAAGATAGAAAAGTTTGTAACCTATTCGATAACTTTTATGTGATCGCATCCTGTGAGTCGGTGGTTTAAACGAGAAGCTTTCATTGTCTCTCTAGCCAACATCTTCAGCGTAACTTCAATATATCATTATTCTTATTATTTACATATATTATAGTTGATATACATTGCATCATATTTAAGTTAGAATTGTTTATCAATGTTATGCACTTCCAGTAATAATTCTATCACTAAATATTATTTGAGGTGTTGGTGTTCTTGACTTGGAGCATTATTATATGCATTTTATAGTTATTCGTTCTTTAGTTTGTTGCATGAGTGACTGTGTGTTTGTGCTACATCTGCTCAATGTTAGTAGTTATCCGTTGTTCAGAACAGTCTTTACTGCATATAGTAGGATAAATTTCCTTATGGTTTCTTGTTGATGGTTGGATTCATGTTTAAACTTCTTTGATGAAATTAAAGTACTTCAATCTCGTTGAATTTAGGGACCAAATTTCACGCATAATCAACATCTGAAGGTGGAAAGCTGAACTGCAAATCATCCAGATATACAGGCAGTAAGTTGTGAATCAAAGAACTTAGTAATTAATTAGTTGATGTTGGTGTGTAGCATGTAGTTTAAATATGCTTGTGTATGCAGGCGAAATATATTTCAGCTATAGGGTAAGTAATAGTGTTATGGTTTTTTACTTATATATTGACCGACTAATATCAGAAGACAAAGTGTAATGGAAACCATGAATATTGGTGGAGTATTTCAGATTATGGTTAGTTCATATTTACAAATGATATTATTTTTAGGTTTGCGTATCTTCCTGGTTTACATAAGATGCCAAAAGGTTCCTATGGAAAGGCTTTGATTATGTTATGTTCAATTGCATTCATTCCCAATGTCTGCTGATTTCAACTGTAGTTTGCCCACCTTATTTGTTAGACGTCAGTAAAACTTAGGGTATACAGAATACTAGTTATGGATGAAAGAAAACTTCGGAAATAGGTACTGATTTTATTAAAGTATTCGATAATTCACCGTCACGTTTAAATTTCCTAATATCTGGAGAAATCGTTTTTAAGAATAATGAGGTTTAGTCACGTGGGCTAAGGAATCTTTTTTACGAGTGTTAAGTGAAGTCGACATCATGAAAATATGTTGGTTTTCAGCGAAGGTTAATAGAAGCAGAACTTGTAAAAGCAAAGTGTGCTGAGAATTGGTCAAAATGACTTAACTGGACTACTTTTAAACTATTTTTCATCACCTACATGGATCACTTCTAGATGAAAGAGAAAATTACCGAATGAATGAATCCACTGCAGTTAACGATAAATTGCAGTATGCACTTGGGAGGTAGATATTTTTATGCCAAAACCTGATCTTTTCGGGTAGCTAGCTTTGTTGCAGGCTACTAAATCTGTTGGTCTTATTATTCTTAGTTTATTGAAAAACGTATTTCAGTGCTGTGAAAAGGCTTGCAGAAAATGTTGTTTAAAGCCTAATGAGTTAATGTGGACACAATGCAGAGCTGTCGTTAAGTCACAGACAAGGTTTGAAGTTGAAAATATCACATTAGGCTATCTAGCATCAGCCTTATATAGTAGTCTAAGTTACTAAGATTACTGTTAATTCAGTCTGAAATCAATCCAAACAACATTATGTTCTTTAATTTAAAGGATGAGGATTAATGTAAAATTTTCTGGAACCATATTTTGAACGTTTCGCTATTTGGAGTGCGAGTATATTTTGTATGAAACTATATACTACTGACTAATTGAATGAGTAGTTGCATTCCATTCACAACAACCAATTTAGATCATTTATATCAAGCCAGCAGGCACTACTGATTGATGTAGGTGGTATACAACTACTCATCTCAGTCAGTCAGTAGTATATATTTTTATGCAAAATTTGCCTGGATTTCTGATTACCATTTACAGTATCAAGCAGATCACATGTTGTGGTCTGAATAATTTAGTTTTCCAGATGGAACTGTAGTGAAATTTCACCTCCTTGAACTGTGTAAATTTAAAATTAATGAAAAATTGTGAATATGAGTCTGAATATATTCTAGATGTCTGCAGAATATATAGTGATTCAAGACTTGTCGACTACTCACTGCCCTATTTGTAATCGAATGAGGCATGTGCAAAAATCAAAAGAAGAACATACCAATAATCCAAGTCAAATTTTGATAAAGAAACTAATGCCTCCATAGTCGCAGTTCATTAATCATCTCAGTTAGCGGTATCTGTGTAACCTAGTCACAGAGAAAATTAATTTTTCTGCCATATCAAGGACAATTCTATATGTGAAACAAATAGATTATCAAATGAATTGAAGTTTAATACTAATAATAAGTACATGATTAGTTAACACTGCAGAGGAGCTTCGCTTTTCATCTGGTTGAATCAGTATGAGACAAATAAATTGTATAATTTCACAATTCTGAATAGTCTCACACTTGAATTTATTATTCAGATAATATGATAGAACAGTATTAGAGAGTAAAGGGATCAACACTTGATATCATTGTGATTAGACACTTAGCTCAGAAGGTGAGCCACAGTGTGGTTACTATAAAAGATTTCAGTCGCTAATTAACTGTCATAGTGTAAGATTCACGTTTAAAGGCTTCTCCTGTTTCTCAGTAACCCTTCTAAAGTTACAAATTCATAGCAAATATTTAAATGACTGCGAATACAACCATACACCTCTAAAAACTAATAATCTAGTTATGAGTATATGTGCGATTACATCAATGCTGTAACCGTTTCGCCTTTTTTATCCACCTACCACTTTGAACTTTACGGTGAGATAGTAAGTGGGGATTAGTACATTCTTAAAGGATGTTTTGGTCCTTCTCATAATTTATTCATCAGACTGAGGTGATCAGATACATTAATCATTTGAGTCTGCTGTAGAAACATATTTATCTTGTATGTAGTATCATCACAACTAAATATTTGATAATGGTTAACAGCCTTAACCAAGAAATGAGTTTTGTCACACATTAATAAAATGTCGTTATCACTCGACAGGACGTAACTTTTTATTGAGAATTTTGAAAGGAACACCCAATATCTATTCTGTAATCATTTAAGGATAGAAGGAAAATGTTTTGTGCTTTGTCAGATACACATTCGGAAGTATTTTATTAATTCACCATGAAGAATAAATGCGTTTATGTGCACCTCCCACGTCTGCAAAGCAGTTCAAACTGTAGTGATGAGAAATGAACAAAATAATAATAGTGATAATGACTTTATTCCAAACAATACTTCCGATGCATTGTGGAATTCTTAGCATGTAGTACAATATTTCATCTAATGTTCTGTTTAAATCACACAGTAGGAGGAAATTACTGAAAGAACTTTATGATACTTATAGTTATGAGAATAGCAGTAATATAAAAATGTAAAACAAAAATCGTTAATAGCAATAGTGGAAAAAGGGAGGGCTGTGGGGTCTCCACACAAACAAAAGCTACACACTCAAGCTCACTCAATTACGGTTCGTCTCTAGTTTCAATCCACTGAGAGGCAGTGTACAGCCTCCACCTAGATTCATACCATTCCTGATCACTCTGAACCAGGCGCCAGGGAATTACTTATCTACTCTTCGTTTAGCAGTGCCATGTCGTCACTATGCATCTTCTTCAAAAGTGTTATTTAAAAAACCTAAAGAATAACAAGAAAGTTGAGCAACTAGGTCATTCTTGGGATATTTTTGATAGTTTTAGTGGCTTCAAGTTTTGTTGGCTGCATTTCCAGTGTCATTCAAAGAGTCATATTTGGCACTAAGAGCTTGTTTGTTCTGACTAGCACGTTGAATAGTCATTGCATAACCTGTGTAGAACCTGTGTGCTTCGGTGGCACAGCGGTAGAATGCTCGCCAACCATGCATGTGGTCCGGGGTTTGATCCCCGGCCGACGCACTCCTTTACCTCGCTAAGCCACTAATAAGATTGATAAAGAGGGAAGGTTGGTCATGAGGCTAGCAACCCCTCTCCCGTAAAAATAAACACCACTGCTACAGAAACTTCAGGCCTCTAGCCTGAAGCCCTATGTTCCACTGGGAACGTAAAGAAATAAAAAACAGCCACTGAACGCGTTGTCAACCGTCATATATTAGTGAGAATACAAAGGTACGCCATATATTACATTATTTTTTGTAGGATAACTGACAGCCTCATTTTGATGGAATTTAAATATTCTGTTTCGGCTTATTTGGAACATGTTTTAGTGTCAGTATGTCTTACTTATTGTGGGCGATTGTTATTATGTATCAAAGAACACTGACTGATTTATTGAGCATAATGTTAAATTATGGATGTCCACCACTGCTACTACTGAAGTAAGCGTGGAACGATTCATTCAGCCAATAAGAATCTAATGACTTATGATTCTCATTTGCTATTTCAAAGTATAGTGTCATAACCACCACTCAATATAACTAGTGACTACCTATCTTTATAACCATCTTCGTACGTCTCACTGAGCACTACAAAGAAATTAGTCTCAAAGTTAGTCAGTAATAAGAAGATGTTGCTCCTTTGAACGGGATTACCTTCAAACTTTATTTCACAAGACATTATCAATAAAACATACCAGGTATGAAGGACTTCATTCTAAATGCATCCAGAAAACTAGAACCAAAGAAAGTATATCTTACTCATGAATCTCCTGGTCATAAGGCTAGAAGTAGTGGAGTAAGTCAAGCATGATATTGCTTACCGTCTGGTCACATACCATTGCAGCAGTTATTTTATTATTACTGAGTCAATAACTTAACTGTCCCTTCGCATATGCAGGAAAGTGAAACTAGAAGTCTAAGAATCTAGTAATCTGACACATGATGAAATCCTCCAACCAATCAAAACAAAAAAAAATCCCTTGAAAATTAATCTGATGCTCACTAGCGACTGGCCCCATTCAGGCAGTTAACCTGGGGTTCTAGTGGGAAGCCCTGACCAGTAGGATACAGCAGGTTGAAGGTGAGGCAGTAACTCATCGAAGAATACATTGCTAAGTGGTCGCGCTATGTCGTGAATTGGCAGAAGTTGGAATTCATGCACTGGCCATTGGATTAGGTCCCAGTGGCTTAATGGTCTACGAGCTCTCCTTGTAACCAGAAGTTCCTGGGTTCGAACCCCGACGGTGGAGTGCATACTGATGAGGAGTTCCAGACCAGGACGAAACATCTGTCTAATACTCCCAGGTTTTCCAGTGATTCTCTACCTGATGTCAGCTCATGATGAAATCCACCAACCAATAAATTGAATATTGAGAACATAATAGTTGATAGAAAACAAAATAGTTTATTGTTTGTGTAAAAGAAGAATTTCACAATCGAATATTTATATCACTATGAATAACATTGAGTAATTTAACTGAGCAGTATATATATATATTTGTTTAGATCCCTTCAGCTAACATTCAACTTACTGACAATGGAATTCTACATTTTTTCTTTTATCTGTTGAATATTTCTTGGAACAGAAAAGGGTGGGTTGGTTGTCACATATTCATAAACTACAAAAAAAGGAGGGGAAGATACTCCTTATCTGAATGAAAACGTAGCTGGAGAAATGTGAACTTTACATAATACAATTAGTGTAGTGGTGAATTTGAAAAGAAGAAAAAGCTCAACATTACTCGTGTTTCAGTTCTATACTCAACTGTCTATTTTGTATACATTTGTAAAAGTGACATAATTACAAGAGGAATGTTAAATTAAGAATAAATCAGCAGAATGTTTGTTTGATTAAAAGATATATATATTTTTTTAAAGTGTGAAGGAACTTGGAAGAAAACAAAGATTTGTGCTCAGTTTTGTATTTCCAGGATAGGCGAGATGTTTTTTTTGTATTTGTGTTCTGATTATCATTCACAACTGATCAACCGGAAACATCAATCTCAACAGATCAACTGGAGAGATAATAAAAAAAAACAAAATTAATAGTACAAGGAGAAAAGATAAGAGGAGAATAAATTAAACAAAGCAGTCGGACAAATGCACTGAGTTTATTTCATTGTCATCTACTTTTGGAATTACAGATGAATCCATGGAAGTTGGTTGATATTCGCTTGCATGATTATTTTGTTGTCGATTTTGATACATGAGTTTCGATGTGGTCAGTTTCTTTTTCTTCAAGGTATGCTCAGATGGAGTAAATCGACTAGTATTAGAGATGCAGTGATTATTCTCACTTCGATGATTGCTTTGATTTGATTTTGGCAGACATGGGTCAAGTTCAGTTAAACCGTTTGCTTCATTATCAGGTGACAAGGCTGAATCAGGACTTGAATGACAATTTGGTATATTTACATTGCCTAAAAGAAGCTGGAAACCAGAAAAAAATAAGTAAATTATTGAACAGTTCAATAAAGGATCTGTGTTAAATAAATTATTCAATTTCCATTCCAAAAATTTCAAATGCCACTTAAACCTACACTTTCGAAACTGTTCTACATTTTATTAAATTTGTAACTGGCGAATTTATTCGTGGTGAAAATTCGCATAAGTTGAGAAGTAGCGATTCAGAAGTGCAAGTACACCAATGACCTTGAGATGCAAATACAGAACAGATCGGTGAAACCAGGTGGAAGATATTCTGTTCGTTGAAAAATGATGGAAATATTGTGAGAATATTAAACAAGGTATCTGGTTAGTTAAATATTAGGTTAGGGAAACATTAGGTAGATTGATGTCATAGGAAGATTAAAGATAATGAGGGTAGGTTCAGAGAAAGATGAGAGTTAGGTGTAGGTAAGAGATACATTAGGGTTAGTTAGGGAAAGATTAAGGTTAGGGTTGATTAAGCAATACAGATTCACTGGGTCACTGGTGCGTTCTCACCACTGGACCACTATTCTTCAACTGCCGAAAATTCACCGCAGTTTCCTATGGAAACCAAAATGATTAAGATCTCAATGTGAGATCCGTTTGATTCCATAAATGATAATCCAGAAAGCAAGCATAAATGATTATGTCATATACTACTAGTTGATTGATATGAGCAGCCGGATACTACTCACATCAACCAGTAGCGCTTAGTAGAAAAATCGAGGTGATCTAAACAGCCGATGGGCATTTCTCTCATTTTTGAACGAACTGAACAGCGATATACTTGGCCGAACTCAGATTAGAGGAATGAATCAGTTTAAATCACCTGAAATCTGGTTAGCCACTTGAGGAACTAGTAAAACATTTGAGTAGAATTCACACTGGAATTTTACCATCAGTATTGCAATTATATATTTTGAACTAATTTTTCTGTTTCTTTGCATTCGATGTAGGCTTCAAGCTTTAGCTTTGAAGTTTCACTAACAGTGGTTTCATTTTTAAAGGGTGGGATTGCTGGCCTCATGCCCAGCCTTCCTTCTTTACCCAGCTCACTACTGCCTAATCGAGACTTAGAGGTGCGTCGTCCGGGGATCGAACCTTGACCACATGAGGCGCGGTTGGCTAGGTTCCTACCACTGAACCACTGATTAATTAATTTTGATATATGTTACTAACATAACTAATAACTTTGATGGATAGTTCCAGTGAAGTAGGATTTGTGATAATGTACACTGATTCTAAAAAGGTGGATTTTGTTTGAAGGCTTCTTTTAAGAGTTGGAAAAAAATGGAATATCATGGATATGGTATTTAATATCTTTGCAAAGTGGATGATTCTTCATGTATAAGAATCTATTCACTGACTATATATAGGGATCATCATCCTTCTTTCCACGTCGGTGGTTCATTGGTAGAACTTTGGCAGGCCACGCAGGTGGTCAGGAGTTCGATCCCCGGCCAGCCCTCTCCTTTAGCTTGTCCAGCCGGTAGTAAGCGCAGTGAGAGGGAAGATCAGGCATTAGGATGGCAACCCCATTCCGTGAATACAGCTACTGAAACTTCTAAGCTCTAGCATGAAGCTGTATGTTCCACTGGGAACGCAAAAGAAAAAAAAATAGTTTTTTCTGTCTGTGATGGGTAAACGTGGTTTCTTGGAGATAAGAATATAACACGATTAAATAATGAATCGTTTCACTTCTGAACTATTAAGATTCCTGATAATAAGGAATAAATATGCGCATTTTTCCCATTCAATTTTAAGATAGCTGCATAAACCATTTTCATTTCCAATCAAGTTTTTTGTCATAATGTGTTTGGTAAGTTCTTGCCGCACAAAATTTTGGATCAATCAAATTATATTACTTATCAGTAAACAGTAGTATGATTGGTAATCAAATCAAATGGAAAAAATGTTTACCAGGCATGAGTCATCAACTACATACTTCCAGTTATGCTTAAATTTCAGTGAACGCCTGTCTAAAAATAATGGCGAAACTGGTACTTACTACTTATATTTGTTTCCTCTAGGGAATGAATTGAAACGGAAATAATTTAATTACTGAGGGATTTAGAATATGTCTTGAAGAGTAAGTAATTGGGTAGAATACTTGACGTGGTGGAAATGTTATTGACTAACTCTCTTGACTAAGAATTTCAATCATTGTTTTATACCATGAGAAAAACGTTAATGTCAGTGATATGTTGCCGAGTTTAATAAAGGCAAGAGATTTTGATCAAAATTTGGAACCATAAAGAAAAAGTTTGATAAGAACTGGGACTATTCCTTGTAGTCTTGCATAGCCAACTGACTAGTAGCATCTTGGCAAGTTTTCAAAAGACAAATTAGTTCTGTTTTCAAGAGTGGACTAATTTCTGAATGCTAATCAGAAGTTTAAAATGTTTGATTCCTTAAAAGAACAGGCAATTGGTTCGCGAGACTTTATTATTAGTGATCACTATTTGGTTGGAACACAGATTTAAATAATTCTTGTAATTATTCAGACAAATTCCACCTATTCACAACTGTTGACCATCAGTCTCTGATATCTTTGTTTAGGGCAAACTGCAATAACTGAATTTCAAACTAAAATTGCGATAAACCTTTTGTTCATATAATCAAGTATTCTAATGTGAAACAAACCTGAGCGGTCGGTCCCCCACTGTATTGAATGCGCCTCAGTTGTTCTGCATAGCGGCTACGATCTGAATCCTTATCCTCTTCGGAAAAAGTATCTAAAATCAACAGAAAGTGAAAGGTAAGCTGATGCTGGATATTATAATCGACTAACAGGTGACCACCGATAGTTTTAAGAATGAACTTAGTATACAACAAATGGTTTTATATAGTAAAGAAACATACTTAATAATTTTGATTTCTGAAACCCCCAGTCAAAATTAAATTTTCTCTCTTTTAACTTCAATTTTATGCAAATAAAGCTGTCAGTTTCTGTTGCTTCTCTTGTCTAAAATCAATATTCCACTTCATTAACACATGCGTCAAGTTTTTCTAACTTGTGTTTCTAATTTGGAGCGATAAATTCGACTATAAACCTTATGCAGAAATAGTATTACATAGGTTTCGATTGGAACATAGGGCTTCAGCAGCGTATTGCCATTTCACTCTGTTGTCTGCAGTCTTTCTAGGCTGGTTCCACGACTGACCATGAGCTTTCATTTTTTCATCTATGTCACCCTCCGACTGTGCCCAACTAGTCGCTTCCCATTTGGGCTCTACTTGAGAGCTTGAAGCGCAATGACACTTAACGGTCTCCTAAGTGTATGTCCAATGGAATTCGTTTTCCTTCAGCACATTTGTTGGTCAATAGGTTCTCGGTTGGTTCACTATCAGAGTCTCTTATGACTTATCCTTTTTGGCCATCTGATCTTTGGTATTGATCGAAGGCAACTATTAATGAAAGTCTACAGGATCCTGTTGAAAATGCTTTTCGTGACGTGAAAACTAAGTTTCTGAACCACATAGAAGCAGTGACTCGATTACTTGCAATATCAAAATCATCAAACTAAATGCGTATTTGACTTCATATCTTATAATATGGTTAAATGTACGCCTAGAATATTCTTTGTATTTAATTGCTGGAGTTAAAATACTTTTCTAAAGACCTAAAACATCAAAGTAACTACGGAGATACATCATAGTTATGGTATTATTTGCTTTATAAGTCCGAGGGAGAATATTTATAATAGTTGTCAGTATAACTTAGGATCGGGTGACTCTGGAAGACGAACCGTAAATAAGTTTAAACTGTAAGCAGACTTATTTTGAGATGTGATTCATTGGTGTAGGTAGTCGACTTCCAAACAGTGGATCACCGGTTTGAAACCTACTTCGTCTGCCAAGGTTAGGGCATCCAGTCCTCGTACACTGTGGGTGGCTCACAAGCAGCTGAATGGAAATGCGAGTGATATCTGAGTGACATTCCGTTTTTAGTTCATTCTCCATTCGGAGCTTGGAGTTTATCCAGATTAGGATGCAAGGAAAATTAATGAATACAATGTTCCAACTGCCCTCACCAACTGCTTTATTAAACGTCCTAATGTTACTTCTGAGGATATTTGATAATTTAAACACTGTAAATACACATGACTATATATATGCTACTAAAAGCTTAATGAATTCAAAACTATTTTATTTTAGCAAACAATGTCTGCAGAAAAGTTTATGCCACTTTTAATAGTCTTTAGTCTGATCAGTGTAGTTCTTCCTTGCTACATCTGTTATTCAGTGTATATATCCCTTGGTTTATATTAGCTTTTACCATTTCATTTTACTACGCTAGTGAGCATTTGGGAAGATAATCCAATAATCAAGACCTTCATGAGGTCATATCGATCTTCACACTGAACGATGTTATTGTTAAATTGTATAATCTATAACTTAGAAACACCAACATTTTTCTACTAGCATAAGTTAAATTCATCTCTAAAAATATAGCCAAAATCAACTACTCGTTATTCACTGAAAGAGCTGTGAAATTTAGTTTCAGTTTTACTTCAAACAGAAGTGATTTTATCATTTGTCTGGAAGTCTTTCATAAAAATTTTAATATGAAGCATTCTTTTTTGTTCAGCTATAGTACTAGAAAAGAGTATGTCACACATATCCTAACTTAAAGCTTCGGAAGTTCACAAATCAGCTGTTGAAAGATAACGACATATCTTAATAATGAATAATGTTTCCTGATAGTCACCAGATTATTTGTAGAATTATATGTCTCATGAAGTGCTTCGGTGGCACAGCGGCGGAATGCGCACCAGCCATGCAGGTGGTCCGGGATCTGATCCCCGGCCGGCGCAATCCTGTACCTCTCTAAGTCAGTAATATGACTGGTAAAAAGGGAAGGTTGAGCATGAGGCTAGCAACCCTAACCCGGAACTTCAAACCTCTAGCTTGAAGCCCTACGTTCCATTGGTAACGTAAAGGAATAACATATTCCATGAAACTCTGCATTTATGAAGGGGAGCTTCAGATATCACTACTGTGGCTAAATTCCAACCTATACGCTAAGCTGTTTTCACTAACTTTGTGGATTTTTTTATTTACACATTAAAAATACTAAAAATTTATGACTTATTATCCAGTGAGTATAACTTACCTATGACAGAATTTTGAGCATTCGATGGATAAAATGGCTGTTTAATATTATGTAAACTTGATCTTGACTTTAGACAATTACTACAAGAGTAAGGTATTCGTTTATGAGATGGAATATGTTGCTGTTGGGCATAAAATTGTTGTTCACAGCTACATTGATTTTGACGATTGTATAATTCACTAGAAATTGCATGAGGAAGATTGTTCATACTCAAACGACTCTCAAAGTGAGGTATATTCTGTCGAGATATATTCGAATGAATAGCTTCTCGAGATGAATAAAAATAACGTGTACCTCCAAGGTTAGGTCTTGTCTTGGAGGATAAGAAGAAAATAGGATGCGATACAAAGCTAATAAATGAAATTCTGAGTAAATTTATATTATACAACACATTGATTATGCATGCAATACAAGTATAAAACTTTGGGGGGGAGATAACATACAAGGAAAGAAATCAGAGTGGATTAAATGTGTTGCACCGGGACATAATTTGAAACTAGAACATGATCTGGGGTTGGTGAATGAATCATTAAAGGTGTAACAGATACTTCTCTATTCACTTCAAGGACTTTGGTGTTATCTATAGGACAGTTCATCAATGAATTTGACATTAACAAGGAATTAGATGCACTCGGATCTAGGGATAAGAATATAGGTGTACAAGATGTGTCCATATTACAATCAAATGGTGTATTGTATGAAAATGTTGCTAAATTTGTTCCTAAATCTATTGAATTAGGATTAAATTGATCTGCTAATGAAGTGACTTTTATAGAAACTATTGGTGAACTATTACCAGGTAGATTGTTTTGGGTAAGAAAGCCATTGTTTAGATTACTTCTTTCGTTTATATCATTAAATTCAGACTTTCGTTTAATTTGTGTAAACGCAGCTAGTCCTGTAGATAGAATTTCTGTAGAACTATCAGCTAACAGCGCCGTTTGATTTGGTTCCACATTTTGAGAAGCAGATGAGCATGTAGGTAGCTGGAATGAATTATTCACTAGAGTTAAACCTAATCCATTATGACCTACTGTTATTGGATTACCACAAGAGGTTGTCGAAGTAGCTAAAGTGTATTGTGATGTACGTCCATTTATATTACTGTTATCAACTACAGACTTATTATTCATTATTTTATTATATGTGTTGGGGTTTTGAAGAGTCTTAGTTTATTAAAGAAAATAAAACATGGACAACAAATAATTTTTACAACAATGAGACAACAATTAAAGAAAAAAAGAAAGAAAAACAAGAAAGAAAATATATTAAGTACACAGTCAATATATATCTAAAATAATTAAAAAACATTTTTAAAAAAACAGTAAGAAATTTCCGGTTGATTGACCGTATTAGACGGAGGTGCTCAGTTGGTGTTGACGTTTCGTCTCTCAGTACGGTGGCTTCAACGAAGTCTTTAGATTAACACGATGTCATTTTGGTTGATGATGACTAGAAGTGGAATCTAGGATACACATTTCGTCCTATTTGGGACTCATCACCTGGATCTACCTGCCTCTGCAGCGAGAGATGAACTTTGTACTCACCGTTCGAAACACTATCTGTCACGGGGGAGGCGGAAACATCCATTTTGCGAGTCTGAAGCAGGATGAAATGTGCTTCCTGGATTCCACTGTT